CCCTAAAAGCCCTAAACCACAACCCCTCCCCGAAGACCGTGTACAGCTCCCGTAGAACCCGAACAAAAATCATATCCAAAACCCTTGGGAGACAGCAATGTCAGCGTCGATCCCCAAACAGCGAAGGAGCACGGACAATGCACACCCAGAAGAGACCAGGACAAAGACCACCGCAACCTCGACGAAACAGGGCCCACTGAAGGAACCCCTTGGAGCCTCATGGTGTGGCTCTGGTACGACTCTAGTTGCGCACTCAGCGAATCACGTCCAAAATCCTTCCCCACCTTGTCTCGCGTGATATTATAGAGGACCAGGATTCCAACCCGAAATGTGGAGCGGGCACGGTTTGTGCAGACACACGAGTCTCAGCCAAAATTCCCCGGGCGGGAAGGGGACGCAGGAGCAGACCGTCAAGCGTCATGAGCCCAGAGACTCCAAAAACCTTAATTAAGGAATATGCCTTAAATCTTATTAAGGTACATTCCTTAATTAAGGGGTATTGGAGTCTCTGAGAGAGCAAGACTCTGAAAACCGTTCTGCAGCATACAATGAACTGCGCATCCCCGAGCACGGGGCATTCAATGATGGGGCTTCAAATCAGATATGCACCAAGAACATCGTAAGCTGCAGAACCACCCTGCATGTTCAAGCTCAGGGGCAAATTTCTGTTTACCCTGGACGCAAAAATGCCAATGTGTTTCCACGCTGCTTGATCAACAACTGAGAGTCAAAAAGCTGTCAATCTCAAAACGCCACCCTCAACTCAAAACCCTAGAACTCACAAAACAACTAGAGCGACACAACCTCTGCAGGCCCCGCTGACCCTTCCTCGAATAACCAGGGCATATTCAAGGAGATGGGCCCTAAAAAGCTGGATAAATTTCACCCTCTAAGGTACACTATAACCTAAACCCTAAACCCTAAACCCCTAAACCCTCAACCCTAACCTACCGTACCATGCCGTACCTCACCAGACCAGACCAGACCCGCCGAGGCGAGATTCGACTTGCCAGGCTCTACTCTACTTGGAGGACCATGGGACTTAGTAAGTAAGGTTATAAGTCCCCTAATTGGGGTTATAAGTATAATTACCTTAGTTATAACCCTACTTACTAAGTCCCATGATCCTTTAAATACTATCCTCTACTAAACTCTACCTTACTCTACTATACTCTACTGTACTCTACTCTACTCCACTCGACTATACTAGATTTTACTATACTCCCCTCGACTGTACCAGACTTTACTCTACTGTACTATACTCGACTATACTAGGCTAGACTATACTCTACTATACTTTACTCCACTTATGCTCTTCTTTGCTCTACTATACTAGACTACCCTATACCCTACACTATTCTACCACACTAGACTCTACTCTACTCTACTCTACTCTACTATGCTCTATAAAAGCCTACTATACTAGACTTCTTTATCTCCTCTACTCCACTCTACGAAACTGTGCTCTACTGGACTGTAGGCAAAGGCAACCCTAGCTTCTGGAAGGTCACTGCGGCCGTGCGTCTGCCCGCACGTGTCCGAGCCGGGATCCTGCCGCTCGAAGTAGACGCCTTTTTTAGGCTTTAGGGTTTGGGGTTTGGGGTTTAGGGTTTCGGGGGGTCGGGTTTGGGGTTTGAGGGTTTCGGGTCCGGGCTTTCCGCTTGAAGGTTTGGGGTTCAGGTCTTGATAGCTCCGTGATTCCAAGTTGGGGTCGAGGGCCGAGGGCTCGGGGTCCGAAAGTACACCCGATGAGATGTCAATCATTGGACTCTGTGATGCCTTTGTCCGGCACAAATTTCAAAAAGCGATTCTCAAATGAGGGCTTAAGGCTGGTAGGCTTCAAGAACCTGGCTCTGGCGCAAGCAAATACACTTACACAACTTCACATCAGTCGAAAGCCCAAGTGTGCTGAGCGCATTGAACACCTGAGTCCCCGGACCCATTTCCCGCAGCGTTTGAGTCGTGAGGGGGGTCCCAAGCCGTATCGAGCTTGTCTCCATCGATTCTTGCAGCGCCCGCTGCATGTCGACCTGGCCGTCGGTCTCTTCCTAAGTACATAGCTGTAGGCCCCCTATGTGGGGCAATGAATACTTCAATCTGGAGCTGCTTCATCTAAAGCCCTAGTTATCGGGCGGGGCCTCCTAGGGTGCATAGATATGAGCACGCTGATGGGGACTATGCGTACTTATAACTACTGGAGGATCATGCGACTTAGTAACTGAGTCGGTTATAAGTACCTTAATTGGGGTTACAAGCAACGATCAGTATGGTTACCTTACTTATTACCCTAAGTGCTAAGTCTCATGACCCTTGAAGTAGGGTTGCTTTGTAGCAATTACTGGGCCACATGGTCGCTGAGGCAGCCAAGAACGGCCTGGCTCCAACTGCCGCTGTGATATCCCGACATAGGGACCGCCATGAGCCCTTTCAGCCATCGGCCCGGGAGGGGCTCCACGGGTACTATAGGGCTATCGGGCAATATAGGGGTCGGCATAGCTACTCAGGGCCTGCCACTGTATAGTAGCAAACCGTATTCTAATCATCGAAGCCCGCAAATTAGCTACGGCCAGGGGCTACGTTTGCGTGGACGGCAACCATGGTCTTGCAGGTGGGGCTCAAGAGTTTGTCATGCTGCATGCGCGCACCAGTCTGTTCCACCTTTGGAAGGGTGTGCTTGTCGTTTTAGGCAAACCGCTGATGGCGTGTCATTAACATCGCAGCTCACTTGCGATCGAGCTTGGTGTTGCCGCTTGCTTGAGTAAGAGTCGGCTCCAGACAACTTCCCCTTTTCTTTTATCGCCTGTCCTGCCATGTCATACGGTCACATGGACGCGACAATTGCGAGTTTTCTATCTGCCTAAACCCCAATCCCTGAACCTGACTGCATGAGACTCGCTTGTGTTGCCTCAACTAAAATGCGACAGAATTAATGAAACTTCCGCATTTGCACGCGCCATGCAAATATAGTATGTGATATGAAACACATAATATGACAAAGCCATATGTCGTCCATAACTTACAACAAATCAAAAATACGCAACCCCAAGTATATAGTATACAATATACAACAGGATGTCTGGGCAGTTTTACATGTTACAAAACAACACAGTACGTTACATTACATCACATTACAATACAGTATATAGTATGATCTGATATTGATAAATTTAAACAGACTATAGTACAATATAATACACTACAGCATAATGTAATTTAGGACCATATACTATATTATACTATACTATACTATACTATACTATACTATGAACATATAAAAATTGAAAACAATAATCCTATCTAAAACAATATCATGAAATGTAAAATGAAATATCAAAACATGGTAGAATATGACAAAACAAAAAATTCAACATAGTAATAACTATATTCATCTACCTAATATATATATATATANNTATATGTATATGTAATATTCAAACGTAAAATGACATAACACAGTTTAATAACATAATGCAATACAATACAATACAAGACAATACGATACAATACAATACGATACAATATAATATCATATAATATAATATAATATAATATAATATAATATAATATAACATGATGCAACAGCAGACAACATCTTCCTGTATACTATCATACCATACGATACATTATTATACAATATCAAATCTTGCTTCGGAAGGAGTAGAAGGCGCCCCTAGTTTTGTAGCTTCGAAGCTGACTTTAGTTTTGAAGGAGCAAAAGCTTCGAAGAGGCTCGAAAAGTTTGCATAAGATGACTTAGCCATTCCACAGCCCAGTTTCGCTCTTCACTTGGAGATTCGCCTTGCCAAACTTCCTCCCATGAGCATGGAAGCAGAAAAGCTTTTGGACAACCATTGAGAACTGCCGAGAAGGCGAGGAGTGGTGAGTCCATGTGCCCAAACGAAAAATTCCAGTTCTATATACATGTATTTTTATCCATATATATATATATACATATGTATATATATATATATATTTATTTATACATATATACATATATCTTTCTTTCAGACGCTGCAAAGAG